TATACAGTGGCTACCAAAAGAAACGCAAGTGTGATTGGTTACCTTTGAACGGCTATAACTCATCAACCACAAATGCTTTTCATAATTTTATGAGATGTTGTTAGACCATTATTACAAACGAATAAGTATAATGTTTATCTTATTTATCTTATTTATCTTATAAAGTATATTCATATTCCGTAAGTGTTTCTATCATATTTTTTATTTTAATTAAATATAGAGTAAATATCAGGCATGGTAATATCCTTGCGAGTATTACATGTAAAAAAGTTCAATTCGTATAACTTTCAAAAGATTATATCTGACTTATTTTATTACCGAAATAAAGTGATTTTGAGGTATACAATTTGAAAGATCAAAACTGATGCCATTTTATAATCCAATTATTACCTATTTATTACCGTATATATATGCTAATTTTGTGTCTGAGGTTAGAGATGCAATATGTATTATCTTGGTCAGCTCATTTATATAATACCTGAGTATATATCTAGAAAGATGAAGGTTTCTACCAATATTTTATATAATGATTATGGAGAAGCCTTCACTTTTATATGTATACTAATTTCACGTCTGAGGTTAGAGGTATAATATGTATTATCATAGCCAGCCTATTTATACCATATCTAAGTACATACCTAGGAAAGTGTAGTCTTCTTCTAATTTTTATATAATAGATTACGAAGAAGCTTACACTTTTAGGGTATACCAAGTTGTATTTCTTTTATGATTTGCTGATGAAGTCTTACGCGAAGGTTATACTATACCTGAGTATATACTATTGAGATGTAGCCTTTATGCTATACCCGAATATATACTAGTAATAGGGTAGTCTTCTTCCATTATTTTATATAAAGATTCTGAAAAAGACTATTCTGGATGACATACCTGAGTATATACTAGTATTAGGGTAGTCTTTTACCAATATTTTATATAATAATTACGCAGAAGACTACCCTAGAGAGAATATATTTATTTAAGTCTCTGAAGTGTTTAAGAGGATCAGTCAATTTCGTATCTCTTTTTGTATACCTCTATATTACGTGAAGGCTATATCATACCCAAATATATATCTAGAAAAGTGTAGTCTTCTTCTAATTTTTATATAATAAATTATGGAGAAGACTATACTTTTTCAGATATATCTGCTTACCTTTTATTTACGATTTGCTTATTAGCTTACTATACATCTCTTTTTTCAAAGGATGAAAAAAAATAATTAAATATTTCAGAAATATATTGTGATATAATAATTTTACCTACTGTCAACATGCATACCTCAATTATTTTCGACCAAACTGATCACAAAACTCTCACTCGCTACAATAGTGCTAACCCTTTAGCCAGTATTCTATCACATAATGAGATTATAGCAAAATATAAAAATGGGATGACTGCTATACTTCAACAAAGCCTATCTAGTAAGCAACCTATACATTTCATGTCTACTGAAGTTAGTGATGATACCAAATATATAAATAGGATTTCTACTTATATTTTACATATCACCAGTTTTTTGATTAATGGGCAAAAAGCAGTTATAAATATTACAGGCATCTGACTTTTCTTTGATGTCAAAGTTCCTGAAGATATGCTGTTATTTATATTTAAGACCAAATTAGTAAGGATACTATCTAATATTCTCAATAATACATTAAAGTTTGAGATCAAGACTATTAGCGCTTACCTACTTCAAGAATATCATATAGAAAAGAAACTATATATCTGTGTGAAAACATAGAACCATTATAATCGGTACAATATATTAAAAGCAGTCCATACTGTTAGAATGTGTACAGCCTCAGATGATCTAAACTGCCAGTATTATTACCACAAAATAGCCTGTAAAAAAAGATTACTTCTTTCAAGTTAGGCAATATTAAATAATTATTTTTACGAATATATTCAAGGGGATACTTATCTCTTTCAAGTTTCTGTAAATAATTATAATCCAACAAGTGAGGACGACTATAATAATCCATTATTCTCTTCAGCTCTTTTACAGGATCCCACTCTTATCCTCACATGAGATATAGAAATATATAATTCGCTTAGACTAGGTAACTTTAGAAGGATGACCCAAATCCACTAAATCAAATCTGCCTTGTAGATGTTGAAACTGCGCTAAACTCACATTAGACTACAATTATATGCGAGAATCAAGTAAATCTATTAAAAGCCTTCACCTTGTGTTAGAAACTACTAGCCCCAGATATACAAATAGGTTTTAACGATTTACTATATGACTGGAGATTTATTGTAGAGAAAGCGAAAAAGCTAGGAATCCTTGAGTGGATATACAATCAAATATCATTAAAGCCTTTGAGCCTCGAAAAAATTTCAAAATGGCAATATTAATATAGCGCAATAAAGGTCAATAATAGGGATTTCTATTCGAAGCATTTTAAAATTCCCAGATGCGTAGCTATTGATGTTTGACCATGTTTTATGAAATTCTATCCTAAGGCTGAAAAGAGTAGTTTAGCATATTACTTAAAGGAGTATGAATTCGATAATAAGCTGAATATGCCTTTCTATCATATATTTAAGTATTATGGAAGAACATTAAAAGAAACTAATGCTATGGCGGCTGAGCAGATGTGTGAAGTAGCTGAATATTGTATTATCGATGCTATTAGCTATTAGTGGTTAATGGTAAGCGTAATACAATTAACAAGTACAGGAAGGTGGCATCTGTAGCCAGTATATGGCAGGAAGGGCGGTAATAAGCTTCATGAAATTAATTTCAAATTAAATGGTCATAATATTTTCACATGGTCTATAGAGCATGAAAACTAAGCCAAAATGAAAGGCCTTTATCTAAAAGTATTAAAGGAATTGCTTATTAGACAAAATTCATTAAAAAGACGTCTTAGTTTATTAAAGGATAAAAAAGAAGAATTAGAAAAGGAGATTAGTTTAGTAGAAGCAAGAGGCAAGGATGTTACAGATGCTTTAAAATCTGAATACTCTTCAGTTTGCTTCAATATCACCTGTCTAGACGCAAAATAACTCGCTTTAAAAGTGTATATAAATACATTTTACGGTTAAGCTAGAAATAGCAGGTCTCCTTTCTTCTTGCAAGTATTAGCAGGCGAGGTAACATCAGCTGGTCAGCAGAATATCAAGCTTATTGCTGACCTTATTAGAAGTAAAAGATTTGGTGTAAAATATGAAAATACTGATTCATTATACCTTGTTTGTCTAGAAGAATATTTTCGGAAGTGTGATGAGAAATATATTTCAGAAAAGATATTGAAGGAAAGGTACTGAGAGAAGATGATGGGAATTTCTATGGAGATAATGAGCGAACTCTGAGATGCAGTTAATGATTTCCTCAGGAAAGATAACGGTTTCCCTTATCTCAAAATGGCATATGAAGAAGTCTTATTTCCAGTAGTATTTACTAAAAAGAAAAAATACTACAGTATCTCACATATAAGTAAACCCAACTTTAATAATAAGCTTTTTATTCGAGGGTTGAGATTGTAAAGCGGGAACAGTCTAAACATTTTCGTGAGGTAGGTAAGAAGAAGAATCTATGAGGCTGAATAATGATAATACTTACAGCTTGCATCAGATTGTGAAGGATGTGCTTAAAGAGACCATAAATAATATTTTACAGATAGATCTTAATGGAGTGGTTAAAACTGCTGTGTAGAAATCTGATAAAAATAACAAGAGTGTCTAGCATTTCATTTCACGAATGTGAAATAGACACACCCATAAAGAAGTAGACGCCAAACGGCTCATAAAAAGAGGACTAACATCTGAGCCTTATCTTTATAAAATTCTAAAACCAGGTGAGCGTTTTGAGTATGTTGTAGTTGAAAATGATTTATCAGATAAGGTCAGAGATAAAATGGAGTATCCAGAGATAGTGAGGCGATTATGTAAAAAGATTAATATCAGCTATTATCTGAAAACTGTTATAGGCCTTTGTGCACGATTTATTAACTATAATGAAAGTTTTCAACCATTATCTGAAATTGTGTTGGAAGCTTTAAAAATGTTAAAGGATGGTAATAAAGCGGGTAATAATAAAGCAGATAATAGTAGGGTAGATGAAGGTGATGACCTAGATGAAGACGAAGAGGATGAAGATAAGGTGTCAAAAATAAGAGATGCTTTAGTGCAGAAATTGGCTGAAAAGTGGATTAAGAGGTATATCAAAAGCCTACGTGATAGTCTGAAAAAAGATAAAACTATCATATCTCATTTATGGGAAGATGTACATATTTACATGAAAAAATTATTTGATATTACTTATGCCGATAAGGGAAAATACCTGACTAACAATGCTTATTACCAATTCTTCCTCAATGCGTTAGATAAGCAAGAAGAATCCATTCGCTTAAAACTTTTATCATTGCTTAAAGAAATTTCTGAAGTTGATATAGGTATAGAGAAAGTATATATAAATTAGTTACTAAGAAGCGAGTAATGTCTTTAGAACAATATTTAATATCATATTATTTGGATGAGTGTAAGCTACTAGCAGATTTCTGAAATATATGGTACAAAGTAGTTAGCCTAGAAATTATACGCTATCGAATGTTATTAAAGTTATATGATGATAAAAAAAATGGTTCGTCTGACGCTGATATAGACGAGATTATTGAATTATATGGTTAAGTACTTTTAGCGAGATCTGGTAATTCAAGCTAAGAAAACTTAGTCGTAAAATACATTGTATAATATTATTTATATATTTTTTCTCGTCTAATAATACCAGCTAACTTCAATTTCTATTTTTGAACTTCTGACCTCTGATTATATAACTCGGTCTCAAAAATGCTCAGAGATGATAAAAAATAGTTTCGGTTATAAGGGGTATTACTTTTTTCTTTTGGCTTATCGCTCCATATATTCCATATTTTTTCCTGACCACAAGCTATATAATTGCAATAAGTAGTAAGGTAAGCATAATATATATTAATATCAGTGACATTAAGGAGTCTGCAACAATAGGGATAACTGGTGTTAGAAGTATTACTTCTGCACTACCTAATTACTTTGCAACCCTTTCCCTCAAAATAAAGTTTTCAGAATTTGCTGGACGACTATGAATGGATTGATTGGATAGGATATCTGTCTGGCTTTTCATAACCCCTTCTTGGGGTAATAGTTCTTGCAAAGCCTCTAATATATTTTCTTTAGAAAAACTTTTATTGAGTTCTATAACTTTATCTTCAAGACCAAACTCATAGACGAGGAGTCTTAAATCATCATTGAGCTAAGATGGTAGCTTTTACGTCAAATCGTTTATAGATGGGAGTGGGAATTAGAGAGATCTTCTATTTTCTTATCTTTCTTTGAGATTATCTCTTAAAGATGAGAATTTTCCTTCGTTAAGTTTAATCACGTCAAAGATAAAGTATCTATTTCCTGATTGATTATCTCATGTATCACTTCTGTCCCTTTTTCTATACATTCTATTTCATGTTTCTTTGAATTTAAATCCTCTTTTACCCATTCCAATTCAAGCCTGAGAGAATCGATCTCTTTGGGATCAGATGAGTTTATTTGGACTGGCTCTTCTATCATTCCTTCTATTACATCAGAATCATAAAACATTAGATCTGATTTCAGGTCCTCTAACTTACTTTCTGATTCTCGTATTTTAATTTCAAGAGAAAGAATCTTGATCTTGTCAGTGGACGAAGCTTTCTGGGCTAAAGTAACCTTTCTCTTTAGTGTTTTAATATTTAATTTAAGCAATTTAATTTTGGCTTCGAGTTCAGTACGGGTCATTCGTTCAGAAGTAAATTTAGATTTAAGCTCAGTATTGAACGCATTCATCTGACTAATCTTATTTCCAATATCAGCATGTATTTGCTTAAACTTCTTTTCTCTTCCTAAATACTTATCTACCAACTTTTTGCTAAGATCATTAATTTCTGCTTTAGATTTAAGGGCGAAATATAATTTTTCTTCAAGTTCTTACTCATATGCATCACCAAGCTGACAACCATTATTATTGATATCTCTCAAGGTATATATATTAGTCATAGCCTTTTTTTCTAACTTAGTTACTAGTATAATAAAAAACATGTGATTGAAAATTGACTTAGATACTCGAACGATAATCTGAACTGTAAGAAAACTATGTTCAGAGTAATTATATATAAGAAATACTGATATAAATTTCATACATAAATAACTAAGATCATCTTACTAATGTTAGCTTTATTAACCAATATAATGGCTAGGATAAAGAAATAGAAAGCATATATGATTATGCTGAACTTCCTAGCAAATAAATGAATGTAATTTTCGCTTAAATCATCATAATCATTTTCCTTCTCTTTTGATCTGTTGATCTGTGAGAGATAGCCTTTTCTTGGCAAATTACTGCTGGGCATCTAGTCAAAATCACGTGGATCTTTTTTCGAATAAATATGAGAAAAAGGGCTAAAAATTATTTTTATAAAATAGATAGATCCCATATTGCGCATAGCACTGATACTCCTGATACTCCCGATACTTCTGATACTTCATATAGTATTAATTTTTTACACACATTTTTTACTAATACTACAAATAGTCTTCATACTATACATAGAATTAATTCTTCCAATACTCTGCATAATACTGATTCTTTGCATAGTTTTGATAGTGTGTATAGTCCACATAGTATTAATATTTTACATACATTTTTTTATTAATAGTATGAAAATCTGATTGACTGCCAATATGATCAACCTTTCACCTAGAAGATATATGCGTTCTGATGCTATAAAATTATCTTCTGCAGATTACGAAGATATCATATAATACTAAGATATGAAGTCTAAGCTTCTAGATCAATTAAGAAAGAGATTCCATGTATCAACTTCTCGTTTATATCAGATTTGAAGAGGACAAGAGGTTAGAAGGGTCGAATGGAACTATTCAGCAGTCCTACTTTTTTATCCAAGTACAAATGAGGCCTTTGCAATAGAAAGGGAGGAAACTCAAAAAAAAATAAAAAATGAGTTAATAATAAATCTGAACAAATTATAGTATTTAGAACATTTTTGGCTTATAAACTAAAATTTTAATTTTTTTGAAGTTTCCTCCCTTTCTATTGCAAAGACCCAAATGTTATTGATAGACAGGATATACCTGAGACCCCATCAGAGTGTAATACCATTACTAAAAGTAAGGCAAAAAATACCAGAGGAAAGAAAACTAAGTCTAAATCTGTTCACATCTCTGAGTCGCCTATTATTCAGATTAAGCCGACCTCAGAAAACTCTAAAGGTTTAAAAGGTGAAGAATTAAATGTATTTTATAAGAATGAAGCTAAGAAAGATAAAAAAAATAAAGCAAATATATCCCTCTTTCTAGCTATTACCTAATTATTTTTACTGTTTGCTGAAGTAAACTATCTATAATCTTTCGCATAAATCATTGAGTTCTGTTTTAGACTTGAGGGCAGTATATAAGTTTTTTTCAAGTTCTTCATAACTCACTTTTTTTTAATGTATCATTATCCTTACTTAAATTCTGCGGATCCTGAGAAATCTTGTCTGGAGCTGACAGATCATCACATTCAGAAGTAATATTTGTGCAATTCACCTCAAGTTTGTTCTTGACCTTATGCATAGTAACTGGGATGATATAATCTTTTCTATTAAGGAGAATTTTTAGCTCATTGATATTCCAATCTATTGCGTATTTGTACTTCTTTAAAAGCTGATTAGAAAATATTAGCGTAGATTTGTGATATCTCATAATAATAAAATCTTTATAAATGGTGCATCCTAGGGATAAAGTAATAGGCAAATTGCGAACAATTTCAACAGATTCAATTGGAACTGTAGTAATACTACTGAGATCATATGTTTTAGATTTATCAATTTTAGCATCTACACGCTCAATGATATTTTTTGTTATGATAGGGGGTTCTGCTTCAGAATCAAGAGTCATAGTGGAAATCTTCAAATACTTGATTTTACACTCTATAGTTGTAACACTTGTTTTCGGCTCCTTCTTCTGAACGAAATCAATCTCCATCAGATTATCTAAAGTCTTCTCTTCATTTGAGTCAGGTATTACAAGAATTGATTCTCAGAAAGATGAAAAATCATTAACTTTAGATTTGATGTTTTTTTCCTGATCTGGCTTCTTAGTATCTAACGGAAGAGCTTGAATCATATACAGAGGAAGGATCTTTTTAAGTTCTTCTCAAAGGGTAGAACTAAGCTCACTTTGAACTATTTTGCGAATAGTTCCCTGGTCAGCTTTGGTTAAAAAAGAATTAGCATTACTATTTTCCTGATCATGCTTTAGCATTTCTGGCCTCTGTTTTATCTTGTGTGGCTTTTTCGTAGTCTTAAGGCTTTTATTACTAAAAGAGTTCTTTTTCCCGCTATGTCTTACTTTTTTTTGACTTGGCAATATTAACAGTGATATTACCCCAGAATCAGAAGAGCTTGTGTCAGAATCAGAACTATCACTAAACAATGTATTACTGGATGAGGTATTAGAATTTGAATCTAAATCAGAACCCAAATCCATAGTAGTGAGATTAACTTTAGCTTTCTTAGACCTCTTTTTCTTCTTCTGAGTGCATTTGCGAGAATTATATCCAGTTCAGTTACAGTTAGAGTACCGCTGTTGTGTCTTCACAGCTTTTTTAATCGCTTTAGCTATATGTAGCTTTAACTGCTTTTTGTGAGCTCAGCAAGTTCATTGTCAGAATCAACTTCAACTTTTTTCTTTGACTTTAGTGGTAAAGTAGGATTAGGAACAGAAACAAATTCTAGAGTTTCTCCTGTAATCTATGATAAAAATTTACCTATATTTTCATCTTATAAATTTTTATACATTTCTGTAAGTTGTAGTTGGAATTGCAATGAAACCACTTGTTGGGGCCATTGAGATTCTGAGGATGCCATTATATTTTTTACCAAGCTTTTAATTTTATCTTTAGTTATTACTGATCTGTTAATATTTGCATATAAATTGACCACTGGAAAAAATGAAAAAGAAGATGATGTACTCTTTTGAGATAATGTAAATCTTTCCGCTTTAGCTAGAGCTTTTGTAATACTATCCTGTGTATCATAAAATTTGGCTATCATTCAAAGATAATATTGATTCATTGGAGACAGATCACGAATAAATTGCTCTCTTTGCTATTCAGAAATCATTTTGGCTAATTTACCAATCTTTTTAATTCTAGTGGAGAATTGCTTAACCGATATATCACCTTACATGAGTTGACCAAAAACTGCTGTTTGTTTAAGTGTTTAACTATTGTATAAGCAGTTCTAAATAGGTATAAAAGTTGACTAAGCTTAATACCAGAAGCAATAGTAACAGCAGGAAGACCACCACTGGCATTAGGCGCTACTGATGCATTATTTATAGGTTCGCCACCAGCTATTGATTAGTCTTCATCTCATGTTCCATTCAGAATAATATCAGCACCAGTTGCGATTCCTACTCCAATTCTACCAATTTCGGCGGCTACTTTACCTTGAAATCCTCCAGCAGTATTCAAACCACTAATTTGATTACCACTATTTCCAGCAGTTATTTCTCAAATAGCATTTAAGTCTGTTACATCTAAGTTATCTGAGAGATTATTACATCTCCAATTTTTGCCTCTAATGCGAGTTAAATAAAAATTCAATGCATCACCTGCAAGGCATAATACTACTAATCCAAATGCCTCTTCTCTTCTAGGAGTCTGACCTGCACTAGGTGCAACATTTATTCGACTAGCTATTATATATCTTTGCATATCTCTAAGCTAATCTTCTGAATCCTCTCCAAGACGACCATAAAATATTGGGGGTTCGTATCCTACCATTTCTGATATATTTAATGGATTATTCTGTAGATTAAAAATAATTTGTTGGGAATTTCTATTTATTAGCTGAAGAGCAAACTTCTCCTGTACTAATGTATTAATACAAGCTTGTTTTTTAGCATAATTATTTATTATAGCTCCTTCTAATCTTTGAGTAATACTACGCCGTTTCTGGTATTCCCTGCTCTCATCTCTATATTGTCTATGCTAATTCTGAACCTGTCAAATAATACAATCATGTTGTTTTCTCTACCTTTCAGCATCGTTATTATACCTTATGGTCTATCTATATGCAGTTCTCCTATGCTCAGTAATTTGACCATCTTTATGTCAAACTATTAGCTGGAGGATAATTTTTTCTTGTGATAGTGCATTAATTTGATTTTATTTTTAGTAACCATACTTTGAGCATATGCTCACAAATCCTAAGCCAATTCCCAATTCTTTTTACGTGCTTCCCCTTCATCATTTAAAGCCTATCTAAATATTTAATTATCATGCTCTGACTGTATCCTAAGATTTTGAAAATTGTACTTTGCATTTCTAGCTCGCTAAGTTAATTAATCAATAAAGTGTTTCTGATCTTGCCAATACCATCGAATCAAACTAAGACTTGTAATAATATTAATAAAACATACACCAATTCTATCAAATTCCCCAGTTATGTCATTTGGGAAAATAATTTTAGTATTATCCAAATGTGTTCTTATTTTTTCTAAAGAACTGGAAGTCTCGAATCATCTGTCTAAAATGCCTTGAATGATATAATTTATTTCTGATCCTTTTAATAATAATATTTTATCTGTAAGCTCCCAAATTCTTCCCTTAAGCTGACCAATTTTATCTTTCAACCTTAAAATATGGATATCTTGAGAAGTACTAATATTACCTTTATGTCTTAAATCTCACAATGTTTTTTGAAAATGATATTTAATGGATTTGATCTCTGTCTTGAGAGATTCTATCTCTTCTTCATGAGCTATAATAGTTTTATCTTGAGATGAAATAGTTTGATAACACTACTCAAGCTCCTTCTTGAGGAAGCGAATTTTTTTCTCACTATTCTTATTAATAGAAATTTCATCTCGAAGCTCATTACGAAGCTTCTGATTTGTATCTAAAAGCTGTAAATATGCTGAATCACATGAAAGTGTAAGTATAGTATTTTCAATCTGATTTAAAGAATATCATATAATCATCGCCTAAGAATAAGCCAACCACAAATTATAATAAATCCTAATGAAGAGCTCCGCATTATGTGTAGACTTCTGTATTATAATATTCTTGAATTTTATCTAAATACTAAGAAATTGCAAAAAAAATGTCAAGATAAAGGGTTCTGAAGTTTTCAATTGTGAGATATTACAAAGTGGTTAGGATATCAATACAGCTATCAAATTCATCGACACCCATTACCTTGTAAAGCTGAGGCAAGTTTTTCAAAGATTAAGATTCTAAATAAAATCCATCAATGTGATATATGGGTTGATTGCTAGGAAAATCAGGTTCTGGGAATTTTTTAACAAATTTGAGATTTTTATTGCATTTTAGTTTTTGATGTTATTAGATTAAAATATATTAAGCTTTTTAATTTAAGTCAAAAATTTCTCGGAACATGATTTTCCTAGAAACCTTTCTATATTGCTTCATACTCATGATCGAGATGGTAGAAGGATATTTATTTGCACTTTTCTAGTTATTAATGTGGCAATACGTTTTAAGAACAGACGCACACTAACATCAAGAAATAGCTTAGAAATCTGGATTGCAATTAAAGATATTTATGAGGATCCTTCTAACCTTCTTACTTAGTCAAAATTATTAATGACTGATAGTGATGCTTTATTTTGAGATGCATTTTCACGAGGAATGCAACAATATAATGTTATAATATGTGTTGTTGACCTTTATAGTTTTGAGAGTCTAGTTTTCATTAAAGCATTTAAGAAAACAATAGCAAAATTAACATATAAGGTCTAATATGTTATAAAGAGACGATTAACTGATGGGAAGTGATCAAGAATATTTAAGAGAATCCTTAAGAAGTATATTGATTATCTGAATAACAGTAAAACTTGCCTTATTGGAATGTCATCAGCTTGTGTTATGACTTTGGAAGAAGTTGAATCAAAGCCTTCTAAAAAATCTAAGTGTGCAATCGGAAAAGATGAAAAGATAAAATTACAAAAAAGTATAGCGGTTAGATATCTGTTAAAAGTAGACAAGTTGAAAGGAGACCATAGACGTAGAGCAACTGATCCATATTGAAGCTTACATGTCTTTAAGATAAAAGAGTTATTATTGAAAAAAATCCACTACAGCCTGTCTTATATTATCTTGAGGATGAATCTATTGAATCAACCGCTCATCTGATAGGATGAAATCCCAAAAGACCTTTTAAATATGAGAAACTTCAAGTAATTGAAGAACCTGATAAAATCGAATATCCACCTGATGAATTTATGCGAAATATCACTATACTAGATTTGTTCATTATGTTTGAGTTATTGATAATCAATTAACCAAAGTCCATCAATATGCCAAAAAATGTGATGGACTATGCTTTGGAAAGACTGGGCAAATAAATGATCATAACATATATCTTTGGTCTTGTGAAAATGGTGTGCATTAGTGGGAGTATCCATTAAAATATATCATGAAAAAATTCGAATAGTGTCCGCTATGTCACCACACTAGAGAAAGAAATTGCCGATATATTTTTGAGGATCTGCTAGGCAAAAAATTCCCATTATGCAGGCTGAATTTTTTGAATGAAATGCAACTCGATGGATATAATGAGGAATTGCGTCTTGCATTCGAATTCTAGAATCCTCATTACTATCACCACAATAGCTTCTACCACTGGGAGAATGAAAATCTAAAATCACAAAATATGCGTGATCAAAAGAAGCGGGATATATGTAAGGACTAAGGTATATGCTTTATCGAAGTGCCTCATACTGCAGATTTATATCTATTTATTAGACATACACTAATCGAGAAAGGATTCTTAGATAAAGCGAAGCCTAACTCTTGAAAGTTCACGTGATTTTAGGCGAATCAAGTTCGCTGAAATTTCTCATTTTGATATACTTTGTATATCGTATTATATGGAATTCTTTATGTATAACATTGACAAGATCTCCAGAAAATCTTTAAAGCGAATAAAGGGCAATAAATATAGTCCAGATTGGCCTTTTCGTTTTCGTTACTGGAGGCCTACATAGTAAAAAACTAATATGATTATCAATCTTATTCTAGGCAACAAACTCCAATGCATGTTTAAAGGTAAGAAGGAGGATAGATATATTAAAAATGATGATCTCATTTTAGTTGGAAAGCATGCTTAACTTAAATGGGAACTAGTAAAAAATGCTATTCACAATTTTGCGAATAGTCTTACGCCATATAGAGAAAATATCACATTTCAAACAATAAAAGCGGAAAAGATTCCAGATATAAGCAAATTCTTCCTGAAAAGAAGCACTGTTGTTGTTTTTGAAGATCTTTATGCTGAATCAAAACAAGTACAAGAATGTATAATCCTTTACTTCATTAGTGGACGGCATCAAAACATATCCCTATATACGTAACTCAGAAATATCAAGCTGTATCGAAGATAATTCATGAAAATATCTCGCATCTAGTTATATTCTAAGGAAGTAGATCTCGAGAAGATATATGCAGAATCATGCATCAATATACAGACGATCCAAAAAAAGCATCTAAGATTATTGACAAACATTTGCGAGATCGGAATTTTGTAGTTTTTGATTTCACTAAACCAATCAATGATCCTCTCACAATTAGGTTAGGTTGGGACACGCCCTTAAAATTGGATAAGTAGGTTCATTTCTGCCCTTTCACATTTATTCTCATGTTATATTATATCCCATATACATAAAAAAAAATCATGTGCACATTCTGTTCTGAAACACCAATAAAGAAAATTTTCTATACAGGCATGTATTACTTCACATGTAGCATACATGCATTAGCCAAACAAACAAATTTTTTACTTCAAGCAAAAATATTATATAGATCATATGATTAATAGCATACGAACTACTTTTATTCATGCAATTTACATTAAACTGCATATTATGTTAAAGAATACGAGATAAACACGTAGATAGATATACATAATTTTTGACCAATCCACCGATTTAACCAGTTTAACCTAATTATTCTTCTTTTTCTAGGAGAAGTTTTCACTTTATCGATCTTAGAATCATCATCACTTGATTCGGAATAGGATTTGTAATATAAGACATTATACTCTTAGTACTCGAAATAATCATATCCTAATTTTCAAGAATAACATTACATCAATCAATATCTTTATATGTATTCAAACATTTCATGCAAAAACTTACTCGCATCGTCCACAAGTTTGAGGCGAACTTTGGTAACTCTTTGAAGAGCAAAGCTGGTATTGTTGAATAAGAGAACTTTTTTTCGAGTTTAAAATAATATACACCAGCAAAGGGCATACACATGCTGTAAATATAAAAGTCATGATCTGTATGAATTTATGAAGAAAATTAGAATTTACTTATAATGGAAATATTGATCCAGCCATAGAACTTACCATATATTTGAACGCCGTATACTTTTATTCTTCTAAACTGTCCGAAATCGCCTGAATAGTTGACTTTAATAAAGTTCAGGATGATCTTTAGCATCTTGGCGGTTTTATTTCTATCCCCAATATAGTGGGTATGGTCAGGACATGATGGAGATCCTGAAACTTCCAAAGTTGACACCTCCAAATCAAAATCCACCATTGATATAATTGCGTCAATCTTATTTCCGGTACATCGTCGATCATCGTCTCTTAATGATTGGTTCAGCTGA